AGCATTCAAATAGATAGCTATAGAGACATCTATATAGATATGCCTAAGCAATCTCTTTGCCTTATTGATTTACTTCTCCAGATAACTTGGTGAAGTGCTCAGGAGAGCATATTTAAGTCATTTGCCTTTTCCTTTTCTCTATTGTAATTATTTTCAAAGAATGGATTGAGTCTCAGGGCTCAACTGAATTCTTTTCTGACAACTCTAAAATCCTCATCTCTGCCTGGACACCTCATGGGTCTTAGGCCTACAGGTCTTCACAAGGCTCCAATTTATATCAGAATTAGCAGAAAACATAATTTTATAAAATATCAACTGTTTCAAGCTCTCTCCATCTATATATCCTTCCTATTTACCTATGCTTTGTAGCTTCCCCACCTCATTGAATCTTCTCAGAGATCCATTTAGTGCTTGTATTTCAAGTCTACCAACTGAGATTAAAGATTTATCTTCTTATACATGCATGCCGATCTTCTTACGTATGGCCAATTGTGATCTCTTCTCTAGCTTCATCTCTAAGATAAAATTTCTAACGTCTTTTTCTTCATATTACTATGCTGTGCTCTTAACTATGTTGAATTCATTTTGTTTAACACAAATTTCTTCAGACTTATGAGACAATCTAGACTTATTTAACTAGAACACCTTGTATCTCTTACTTGCTATTTCAAAGGCATCATAGTTCTCCCCCGAAATGTTTATTTGCAGGCCTTTCCCCTCTATTTTTCATTCATTCAAATTATACTATTTCTTTAAAGCATAAGTCCAAATTGCTCATTCTTTTTTTTCTCATTCTATATATGTTATTTAATGGAGCTATGCACTTCCTTCCAGCCACTGTCAAATTTACAAACTAAACACTTAATTATGGCTGCTCATATATTGTACCAATGTAGCCTTGGGGAATTCTAGATTCTGTTAAACCATGGTGCCTCAGGGCAGAAATTCTGAGATTTAGTGTCTGAGTTCTCTTTTCAGAAGTGCTGTAAAAAATCTCATGGACTCCCCTAACCATTCCCTGTAGCAGTCAAGCAGAAGCAATAGTCTATGGCAAGCAGACAATTGAAACAGATAGAAAATGTTATAAAAAGCATAATATTGTCCTATTTAAGGAAGGATAGTAAGATAAAATATGAAGATTGACTATTTTTTAATAGAATGAAACCCTTCATGAATCTGTTTCATTAAAGATACCAAACAATTTGCAAAGCTGGGCCAAAAATGGGTTTATCTTGAGACATGCCAATGACAATCAGTTCTTACTCCAGTCCAAGAGCATTCACTATCTCCTACCTATATAGTACAAGTAAGTATGTTTATTTTTATATTTATATTATACAAGTACCCTTAAAGACATTCATTCTGTGTGATATGACTGCAATTTAAGGAAAAATTTTTATCTGCATAGGTTTTTATATGCTTATACATAAAATATATTAAATACTTTATACATATTAAATATATAAAATATAAAATTCATTCTGTTTAGGCTAACTGGGCACATTAGCAAGTTCAAACTATTATGTTGCAAATTCACAAAAATAATACTTTCTAGAAATTTTGAAAGTAATAGATGGCATAGGATTGATTGACAAAGTATACTATTCTTACAGCAGGTCGAGGTATAGGCTTTTGTGGTTTCTTTGAACCCAGTTTTTTCATCGCATTGTAGTATTTCTTCTGTTCTTCTGTCATAAAAATGTCTTGACCTCCAAAGTAAAGAAACAAAAGCAAAACTTGTTAAAATCATGTTCTCTGATAGTTGTAAAATTAGTCATAACAATCAGGTGAAAGTTGGTCCCCATATTCTATTCTAATGTTGCTAACATCTACATTAATGGAGATGCACATGTCCAAACAAACATAGATGAATTATGCCATATTAGGTATAGTGATATTCTAGAAATAGACACAAAGGTATTTGAATTATCAATTATCTGAAAATTTATAGGTTATTTGTTTTTATTTATTTTTTGAGACAGTGTTTCATTATGCAGTGCAGCCTGGCCATGATCCTTCTGCCTCAGCTATCCCGAATGCCATGCTCAGCAATTAATAGCTTATTAAATCTTAAAATAATTCCTACACTTTACTTTTTTGGTGGTTACATTTTGGAATACATGAAATATTGTGATGTAATTGGCTCACATATTGGACTTAGAGCAAAGATGAAGTTTTAATATACTTATCTTCTTTTTCTGTTGGTTGAAGTTATCTATGATGACACCAATGAAAAGATTCAAAGTAAAGAAAGAACCAAAAATAATAAAAATAACAAAATAAAGATACATGTACAGATTGTCTTCATATTTGGGTTGCAATTCTACCTACAAAATATAAAAATAATAACCATTAGTTTTAATATTGGTTTCATAAAATACACATCAATGAATTTTTAATTCTCTAGGTATATGTCAATCACTGGGATTAACAGAAATCAAATATTGAATACATTTTATTAAATTTCAAATACAACATCCTCACTGAAGAATCTTGAGTAACTATTCACTTCAAGTACTTCAAAGTTCTGAGTAGTTGCATAGAATTTCAGCAAATTAATGCCTACAGTATGATAGCATTTTTCCATTAGTAATTGAAGATCTCAAGATACTATGCAAAATTGATAATTTTCTTTTCCCAGAGAAGTTATAGAAAATATGCTACTTAAAATCATTCTTATTTACTTTTTCTGCTTATTTTATTACCTGTGAAATGGAAATAAATAGCCTAAACCTTGTAGGGTAGTTTTTATAGTTGTGTTAATATACAAAAGGAACTTAAGCAGATCATAGCTGATAGTAATTGCTATGTTTAGAGTTGATACCTACAACACACTTTATTAGTGGATCAGAATCATTGTATGTGTGAACATAAGTATTCTGGAAGAAGCTTTTCTTCCTAAAAATGAGGCCATTGATTCATCTTATGCAGTAGGGACTATTTCTTTAATGGCACTCCTTATCCAGCCACTTGATTGGAAAACAGGTGATACTTAACTTGAATTTTGTTTTTTAATTTATAGTTTAGGTCTCATAGAATTCTATCTTAATCAATTCAGCTAACCAGTCACTGATGATAATGAATGCAGGTTATGGAATATTAAACCACGAAATAAATTTGAAAAATCATGATTAACAAAATTTTCTAATGAAATGGAATAAAACAAAACCTAAAAGTTCTTTGATGACTTTGATTTTATGTATATGTGTGCAACATAATATGCAAAGCTATTTTAAACTATAAAAACTACACGTGGAAAACTGCAAAACATAAATACAAATGGAACACATAATATAATCTTACTTTTGATGGACAATTTGACTACATCTTTTGTAACATGCTTGAATACTGAGGAATTATGTAGCATACTAAGTTGTCACAAAAAAGCAAAGTAAGTTATATGTCACATAGGCTATTGATAAGGAAGTTGGATGGAAATTTGAATTACTAAGGAAGGGAGGGGAGAGACTAGAATTACAAAGTAGTCTTTTTTTTCTTTTTCTTTTTTTTCTTTTCTTTTCTTTTTTTGGCAGAACTGGGGATTGAACTCAGGCCCTTGCACTTGCCAGGGAAGCGCTAATTCCACTGAGCCATCTTCCCCGCCCCTTACAAAGTGGTCTTAATCCCCTTCTCTGTAGTCACAATTCAAAACCCTACCAGTGAAACCTCTCTGTTTTAATGAAGTCATTATTTCCTATATAAGGTTGTTATTTAGGATTAAATGAAATAATGTAAGGAAGCCCTGGCATGATGAGCATTAATAAATCATCAGTTATACTCGTGTGTGTGTGTGTGTGTGTGTGTGTGTGTGTGTGTGTTTATTTTAGGGAAGGGTCTACAGGGTCTTCAGGGCCTCACTACTAGATCAGACTTGTAGTGATCCATCTGTTTACAGCTTTCCAAGAGCTAGGATTACAGGCATGCACCACCACACTCAGGCTCAATTGCTGTCTCAGCATGCCCCTGGGAGTGGGGATGGCACAGCAAGCCCTAGGATCCAACCATCCCCCGTGCCTACTTGCAGGTGCTTTATTCTGCTGATCTATTTGGCTGGCCCCTTATCAGGTGTTAGTATTATTCCAGTAAAGCTCATAACAGTGATTCCTGATAAAATATAAGGTGCTTAGTACCTTCTGTATATTTCCCTCTCTCTTTTCTCTCCCCTTTCTCTCTCTGGTTAAAAAAAATGGGAAATTTTTGATTCAGAAATCTAACTGTTCATATTAAGGAAATAGAATTTTGAACTTAATTGCCTATGACATTGTCAAAAAATGGGAAATCAATAGAAATTATACAGAACACATTATACAATAAATATTGTGAAAAAGGAAGAAATTGTTCTAAAGAATAGAGAAACTAGGATGGGGAAAGGATAAAAGGAAGGAAGGGAAGAATATATATATATCTATATATATCTATATATATCTAGGGAAGAATATCTACCTACCTATCTATAAATTCTTGTAGTTAAAATAGTTATACTACTAGTTTCTCGTGGTTCATTGAGAAGAGAGGTGTGCACAAATACTATTTGGACTGTCTTGCATGCCTGTTATGGTTTGCATTCAGCTATCCTCCCAAAGCCTCATGCAGTCATGAAGTGGTTTCTGGATTTTGTGATTGATTCTTGATCCAATTCTGGGTGTGAGTGCTCTGCCCTGGGGCGGGTGATCTGCATGACAATGTAAGGAGGGGATAAAGGCTAGCTAGATGCCTCAGCTTCTGTCCCTCCCTTTGCTCTTTTTGCCCTTTGCTGTCCCCACAAACAGTTGTTCTGTGCCATGTGCTGCTGTGCCTTGGAGCCAGCTGAGTATGGACTGAAATCTCCACTAACTGTTGAGTTCAACAAACCTATCCTTTCTTCATTTTGGGTGTTGGGTATTTTGTTGGGTATTTTACTCACCCAGCAATGAGAGTGAGTAACTGAGAAATGCCTATATCTTGCTCTCTGAGTAACTACTTTGAAGATAACAATATGCAGTGTATTAACTATTGTTATTCTATTATCTTGTTTTGAAAATTTGTTTTTTTTTCTTAAAAATGTTCTGATATTTACAAGGTACACTGTGCAATTCCTCCTATCACATAGTCATACCTCCAAGAATGAAGCACAATTAAGTTCTTTGCTTTACTTTGTTTCTTGTTTTTTCAATTTTTTCTAACTATTAGTCATATCCTTTCTATTACAAGAAAGATCAAAAGCTAGAGGAAATTTATGACAGATAAAATTGCCTTTGAGAGATTTCTAATATACAAAGAACTGGGACCATCACAGTGAAAATATAATGTCATATTTTTCAAATATAGACAATAAACTGCTAAGTGACAACTGCTTAACACAACTGCTTAATGTACCTAGATACATTAAAAATTTCACAGGGAGGACTAGGGATGTAGCTCAGTGACAGAACCTTTACCTCGCATGTACATTGTCTTGAGTTTGACACCCAGCACCACAGAGAACAAAAAATATATTTTAATCCATTTTAAAAGAAATAATAGTACTTCCGATTTGATTTGAAACTGTCTCATTGCTATCTGTTTATCAATAAAACTTTGAAAAAATAAAAAATAAAAATAATATTAAAAAAAGAAATAACATAGGATTAAATATTTTGTCATAACACAGATCTGATCTTTTACAGACTACACCATTAAATTACAATATTTTAAAAATATTCACTTTGTCAAATTTTAAAAATTCTCTTCTCAATAAACTTACATTTCGTGAATCAACAGCTGCATACATGATATCCATCCATCCCTTAAACGTGGCCTGTAAAAAATTCATATAATTTAATTTTCTTCTTGCTTGTACACCTAGCACAGATTGGGAGACAACAAATTTTGTGCAGACATCTTATTTCCAGTGTGGTACAGACCAGACAGCTTAGCAGTTTCTGAGGAGGCAGCCACGCAGATGGGTGAGAGGAAGTTGGCAGACACTAGGATGAAGCAGCTCACTTTATTTAGTTGTCTTTTCTTTGTATATATTTAATTGCTCCTCTCTATATATAGCACTCCTAAAATAATCTGCATTTTTGTTTTAATTGCTTTTAAAATGTTTTATTTATTTTAAAATTGACATATAAAACTATATGTTGTACAATGCAATGTTATGAAATATGTATAAATTAAGGAGTGGCTAGCTCATGCCAATTGATGTATATATTACCTCATGGATGATTTGTGTTTGTTTTGAGAACCCTTAACATTTACTTTCTTAGTGACTTTCAAGTACATAGTATACTTTTATTATCTCTAGTCAATGTGCTGTATAATTCTAAAGTTTTATTGATCTTATTCCTCCTCTCTAGCTTAAATGTGTCTGTCAGTTAGCACAGCTCCTCCTTCCTACCCCGAGGCTGGTGGCCACTATTCCTTGCTTCTGATGCAACTTTTATAAATTCCACAAAATAAATGAGATCATGTGGTATTTCTTTTACTGTACCTGATTTATTTCATTTCACATAATGTAGAATTTCACCCAAATGGTTTCAACTGACAGGATTTGTTCCTTCTTTTAAGTTGAATATGTAATATCTATGTATCTATGTGATATGTGTCTGTCTGTTTAGAACGTCTGCCCACTGATGGATACTTACACTGATCCTATAGCTAGCTATTGTGAATAATGTAACAGAAATCAATGTATTTTTATTTGTGCTGTGAAATCACTATGTGAGAAAGATAAACCAGTAGATATATTTTTTCATGTACTAATTTTGCAGTTCTTTTGAATATATCCCCAGTAATGGGATTACTGGACCTCATAATAGTTCTTTTATAATGTTTTTTGAGAAATTACCCATGTTTTCCATAATGGCCATACTAATTTACATTCCCACCAAGAGCCTGCAAGGATTCTTTTGCTCTACATTCTTGCCAACACTTGATGTCATTCTTCTTTTTGAAAGCAGTAATTCAAAGAGGAGTGAGGTGCTATCCAATCAGAAGAATGTTAGACTTAATTACAAATCACAGGAGGATAATGAAACAGTTACTTACTACTTGAAGCAGAGAAAGATATCCCAGGCCCACATTGTCAAAGTTTACTTTCACATTTTTCCACCTGGCAGTTTGATTGCTTTCTATGAGGGCTTGACATTCACTGTAGTTGTTGACCACGCTTACATCAAACATGTCTCCAGTGGTGTAGTTAATACAGTGATAAAACTTGCCCGCAAAGAGATTCACTCCCATAATGCTGAAGATCAGCCAAAAGATCAGACAGACCAGGAGCACATTCATTATAGAAGGAATGGCTCCTAAGAGAGCATTCACCACAACCTGACACAGGATAAGAAGGAAAACAAATGAAATGCCAGCAATACATAATTTCTTATTCTTAAACATTATAAAATAATAATAACAGTCAAACTATAGAAAATATATCTATTCACAAATTTGAATGTTAGGTAGAAATATCTGATGGTTCCAAATAACTAAATTTTTGAAATTATATTTTAGAGGGATATAAGCTGAATTTTATAATGCAGAATTTTTTCTCCAGAGGTAAGGTTACATGTGTGGCAAATTCTTATCAAAAAATGGAGCTAATTAAAATACAAAATTTAAAGAACATGAGAAGGAGGGAAGAAGGGAAAAGGGATTCAAAGAAAAACAGAATTAAAAAAAAAACAGAAATAGAACTTTTGTAAATGGGGATGGGAAGCAGGACCAGGGAGAAGGAGAGAGAGAAAAAGTGAATTAGGATGTGTGTGCTCGTGTACGAGGCCCCAGGATGAGTGTGATCATTCTGCATGACAAACAGAGCCAATAAGACATTTCTAGAAGTACATGAGCATATAAAGAAGTTCATTGTACCACAAGTTTTAATAATGCAGTCTATAAAATTTACTATTCAAAATTTGAGAGTAAAATAATACCTAGGAAACAAATTCTATACCGAAACAAAGCATTTATTGAAAGTGTGATGCTCTTTGCTTATCAGAACCACTACTGCAACAAAACTGATTTCAAATTGATAATGAAAAAATTAACCGGTAACAGTTCCTTTCTATGTAACCTTATACACACTCACATACTCACACAGATAGACACAGACCTGGCTGTTTTTGTCACATTCAGATGAAGCCATGTATTTTCAAATATTACCAAGAGCTTCATTTTCTAAAATTGACTTTCGGACAGCTAAAAGGATGGAGCCTGGGCATCACTCATTACTTGCTAGGTGATGCAGGCCTGTGGCCTTTGGTTTCATGCCTCAAGGAATAACAAATGTCAGTACAAATTCCTCCCTGTTCCTTTGTACCACCTCTCCCAGTATCACCTTCCCACATCTGACCTACTTTTTAGATATCTCGGTCTATGTTGGAAAACTGAAAGGCCAGATTCAGACTTTCAACAGGCTTAAAATACATCATCCGGAGCAATAAGGCAATGATGAGTAATGAATGTTTTGGTAACTTTAAGTTACAGCAAGTAGATTTCCTTGAACATTGATACATGAGATGAAGATAACTAATCTTGATTCAGACAACATAAGAGATTTCGCACAAAGCTGTTAGAAATGGTCACACTCTGTGCTCCGTATCTGATCATTATCAATAATTTGATCGATTACGTCTGTGTGAGAGCAGAAGATACAAGCTCTCCATGGAGTTTCCATTTTGGGGTACAAAGCATCAGGTTCTTCTCCATTATGCTTTCCACACTCTCTAGAGCACTGGTTCTTACCCTCATTCCTTCGAAGCGGGACAAAGCTCTCAGGGGCCTCAGAGCTCGTAGTGTCCGTAGGGATTTGATGGCACCAAGTTCTGAGTAACCCAGGGCATTTGCAGTCAAACTAACCAGTGAGACCTACATAGAAAAAGCCACACAATTTTCTAACTTATAGATACAAATTGTAATTCAACCTTCCTTTATGCAATAAACCAGTACTCATCAAATTACTGGGAGTTTCACATTCACCCTCCGGGGGAGCTGGTAGAACCTGGTTTGGCAGGTTTGGGGTAGGTCTTGAGAATCTACATTTCTTCAGGTTCCCTATGTAAGATTATTTATGCTCATCTATAAACCACTTTTTGAAAAGCAACAAATAAAATTGGTAAATAACTATAAAAATGGCGAGAACACTGCTTTAGTCATTCATGTGATGACTAATGAAACTCATAAAAATTCTAAAATCTCAGCTAAAAGAGGAAAAGAAGAACTGTCATGTGTCACAGAAATGACTGATTTCCTGTGAAAATACATAGAAAATTAAAATTATATAAGCTAAGAAAAAACATTTTATCTTAAAGTGTCTTAGAATTTCAAAAGCAAATAAACAGAACTAGATACATAACATAGCTTTCAAAAGCATGGTTTTAATAGACATTTGAAAAACATACTTTTGAGGAAAGTACATGAAGCATATAGACAACTATTGCAAAAATGCTTTATTTCTTTAAACTATCTTTGTATAGGCAATCAAGAAGCAAAATCTCTGAATTTAGAAAAAATATCCTGAGCTCTTAAATTTTATCTTAGGTACTTTTGTAAGACTTTTATCTAAGACTTTATGAATCTCCTCTCACACAGACAACTGAAAGAGCAAGTAACTAAACCATTATGAATTGAGATATTTTCTACATTAGAAGCTAAGAGGACCTGTGGTACTTTACCTTCTCTGAAGACAGAAGCAAAAGGAGATAAGCATACATTAAAGATGAAATATAAAAGTCAGACAGAAGAAAACTATTCTAAGCAGGGACAGTATTTATCAGCTAATTAAAAGAGCTAGTGAAGTACATAGCTTGTGTAAGTACATATGTAAAGGAGGTATATGTCAATTGTTTTAGGGCACTGAAACAATCTTCTAATTGGTGTTTGGATTTCTAAGAAATTTCCTTTCTGTCACACTGTTCATACCCACTTGACCTCTTTTCCTAAAAAAGCAAGCTGGACTTGTCACTTCCTCATTGGTAATTCTTCAGTTGCTTCCTCTTTACTAAATCATAAGCCCAAATGTCTTTTGGGTGACACCCTGGCTTCTTCCAATGTCTGTCTCACTCCATCTTCCAGTTACAAGCCAATCACTGCATCCCTTTGTGTTTACCGACAAGGACTGCCTCTCGCATGTCAGCGTCCTAACACATGGGCATCCGGCACCCTAACACACGGGTATCCGGCTCTCACGGCACTCTGCTGACCCTCTCATCCCTCCATCTCCAGCTCACCCTTCACTTTCTTGCTTTTTCGTACAGGAGATCAAACTCAAGATCTTGTGTTTGCGCTGCTGAGGTACCTCCCTAGCCCACAGCACACTTTGCCTTCCTCAGTAACCTTTTTCCCTTTTCTCAGGGGAAGCCAGCATCGCTTTTAGTCCAGGTGCCAAACCCTAGTCAATATATATCTGCTTGTACTGTGACACTCTAGACTCCGTTAGGGGCAGAAAAAGTGACTTATTTGTAGCTTGCATTGAACAAATGAGCAGTTAGCATATTTGACTTAAAGCAAAATATTAATCAGATTATTATATAATAATAAAAGTTTTCCTAAATCTAAAATACTAGATAAAGCGTATATTAGGTAATACGAGTTCAGGAACTCTAAGATTTTCTTAAGAATTTCTTTGTACTCAAGTAGTGCTGACTTATCAACTGTATTTTTACATGCCTATATTAAATACGACACATTATTGTCACTTTAACACCCATCATAACCACATACAAAATAGCAAAAAGAAACAGTATCATGCAAAATTGAATTATACAAGTAAAAGAATGATTATAGTTTTGTAATATTCAGGCACATATGGTTTCAAATATAACTTGCAAGGTTTTCTCTACTGAAAAGTTTTTCAATATAGTTCTGCATGCTGTCCTATACAAATTTCATTTCCTAGTACTTGGTTTAATACTCAGTTATTAAAAATCTGTATTCTGGCACTCAAACTTATTTTTCTCAAAACCAGTGTTGAATGATAAAACCTTTAAATACTTGGTTAGTAGCTAATCTGTTTCAACCACAATAATCAGGTAGGGCTCTCATGCTTTTTGGACTTTAGCTTTACTTCTAATTAGTAGTTTGTCTATGTGACAATTACTTCTCAACAGGCTACAAGGACAACAAAGGTACTAATGCCAAAGGTAATTGTGGATTACTTAAGTGCTATTATTTTGTGAATGAGAGAGTAAAATAGCAAAATTTCTAAATGAATGTATTGTCTTGCGTAACTGGATTTCAAATATTGACTTAAAGCTAAATCAATAATTATAATAAAGTGGCATTTAACTGTTGGATCTTGGAAAGTATAAGTATTAAAATTGGCAAGCAATTTTTGGGCATCCTATCACTTGGAAAGCAAAACATATTTATATTTGGACTGAGGCAGTGTTTATTGAATACCTACTATATGCCAGCCACCACTTCTAGAACTATTACCTACCACCCCCTTCCAAGGAAGGAAAACAGAAACTGTAGAATACTCACATCAACAATCAGGAAATCTAGCCAGCACCAGGCATTAGTAAAATACACTTGAAAGCCATATGCAACCCACTTCAAAAGCATTTCCAGGATGAATATGTAAGTGAAAACCTTGTCAGCATATTCCAACATGGTCTTAATTGTTTTTCGCTGCTCAATATATATATCTTCAAAGGCCTGTGTGTGAAAAGAGATTCTGTTAATTTAATTGTCTAATTTATTGCTTTAAAAAATGATGCAAACTTCTTATCAAGTCAATAAGGCTGGAAGGCTCAGTGTTTCTTGTGGCTGCATCTTGCTTTATAGTTAGCTATATACAAAGGGCTATTGACTAGATGTTGCAGCCCATCAAAGCACTCATATAATTTTTAAGTTTGATAATCCAAATAGTGAAAAAATAACTGAAAACTTTTGAAAGACAGCCAGCTACTTTCTAAGGCAGGAGGCAAAATGTCATTTAGGAGCAACTTTGCTTTCTTCACTCAAGAGTTGCTGGGCCGCTTCCTTCCAATAAAGCAAATGGAAGGGCAGAAGTTCACTCTGCCTAGAGGAAAGAAAGTATGACACCCCTCTTCCCCAATCCCCTCTTCCTTTGTTCCCTCATCCTCCTCCTCCTCCTCCTCCTCTCCCCCCACTCCTTCTTTCTCTTTGTCTCTGTCTCTCTGCCTGTCTTGGTCCCCCTCTCTCTCCTCCTGTGGTGTGGTATAGGTTTGGAAGGTCCTGTGTTGTCATTATCTATAGTTCTTGGAAAAGGTGAAGCACTCATTTGCAGAGCCTTGGGCCCTCTAAAAGCAACACATCATTTATCTAACTCAGTGCTTCCATTGGAAAAATTATCAGAAGGATCAGGTGGTCTGGATCAAGGTCAAAAGAAAAACAAAGTGTGGCTTGCTTTTTGTTACTTTTTACTTTAATTTTTAGAGAGCAAGGTGATCTAGGCTTGTAACAAAGGCTCAACACAAGGGCAGAAAAGGCTTTGGACCTCAGATTGCAGCTGAAGCTGAAGGCCATTCAGAAGCCAGCAGGTCAGGGCCCTTCCATGATTGAGGTATGTCACCAATGGTGCCAGTTATTGGTAAGACTTCATGTTTAACTCCCCTCTTGGCATTAAAATGCAGGTCTAATCCTATTTATTCTGAATACTTAGCAGGATGCTAGGTTCTTAGTCAATGCAGTGGTAGACTTAGACATCTTCAGATACAATTAATTATCTTCCTCTGAGATCTGTTCACAGAGCACTTCAGTAACAGAAAAATAAGAGAAATGCTTCCACAGTTGTACTAGCAAATGAGAAAATCAGTTGCTCTATTTCATTTCATAAATCAGTATTTGGACCCAAATGACCATTCCATTCAATGCAACCAAATTAGTTTTCAAATATAAATTAGGTTCCTAATGCTTTCATCATACTGTGTCTAAGTCTGATTCCACTCAAGTTCAACTTGAGAAAGCATTAAACATTTCAATATATTGGGCTTCCCCCTCTGTCTAAACACGCCATACATATTTTCTTTCAGTGGCAAGCAACTTCTTTTAAAACAGGTCATATGAGATTACCTGGAGGGAAAGGAAAAGGGTCAGAGGGAAAAGACGAAGGATGTGTCCCACCTACCAGAGCCCCACTGCTGACCAGAATCATGAAGACAATGAAAGTTTCAAACCAGTTGTGCTCCACTATCTTATAGCACGTTTTCCTCAAGTTCCACCAGAGTTTACCTTTGCCTTCTTCTATACTTATCTGGCAACACTTGAACTTGCGTACGCAATCTAAAAGACAGGAGAGGAAGTGAAGAGAAAGGCTCTTTGTTTATAAATATTTATGTTGAAGCATTCATTCATTATTGCATCTCAATACATGGCCAATGACTTTATTTTTAAAGATAACTTCTACTTCCACACATT